GTGTTGGCCTACAAATCGTGCGCTTCTCCTTTAAGTGGAATTTGCTCCTTCCACGTAAAATCGCGACTCTTTGCACGGCAAACCTAGCTGCCAGCTTAGTGACCACAGTGATGTGATATTTGAGAAGGAAATGAATGGAGTGGTAGTGTGATGGGCGAATGCTGTGTTAATTAAAATGGTGTCTATTAACAGCCCTGAGCAGAAGCCAAGGAGACTCAGAAGGAACACAAGTGGATTTATTCTCTCAAGCAAGACAGTTTGAATTGGTAGACATTCATCCGGCAAACATTTATTTAATTTCTCCTGCTAGGTTCTGGTGATGTAGCAGTAAACTGGACGTCAGAGTCTCTGCTCTCACATACCAGAGAGAATGGGTGTAAATAATTAGATGAGTGAATCTGCAAAGGCTAATTCCAGGAGAAAGTGGCCCTGAGGAAATATATCAGGGTGATGTGATTACTAACTGGGTGTATGAGTCGGACGTTAGCCAAGAAAACAGAAATCACTCTAGTTATTTCAATGTTGGGAGTTTAATAAAGGGAATTAGTTATTCAGGTGTTGGAAAACTTGAGAAACCAAACTGGGGGTGGTGAGGCGCCGCCCCGGCATGGTCAGGTGATGCAAACATGAACCGTGGCCGGAAGCTGTTAGCACGCCTTGGCCTGGAGGGGAAAGGAGGATGTGGGGTTACCCGAGTCCGGAAGCTCAGCTGTCCAGCAAGGCCAAAACTGCGGCCCCAGGAAGCTGGGTGGGCAGGTGCCACCTGTTCAGTGAATGCTGCAGGCTGGAGCCGGGAGGGACCCTGGGTGCTCTCCTTCCTGCCGTCCAGGGCTGGATGCACACAGCAGTGGGGCAGGCGGTCTTGGTAGACGTTGTTGCCTGCAGTGCAGAGAGGGATGGAGGAAGAGTGGGTGTTGCTGGCATGGAAGGGTTCCCTGAGCTGGGAAGTCCTGGCAGGAGGAGTCCGCTCTGCTCACACGTGATCATGTGTGATGAGCATCCCCAGCAAGCGTGAAGGGCAAGGAACAGCGTGGACACGGATGGGGAACCTCGGGGTGGAGAGAAGCATGGTAGATGTTCTGGTCCCCTCCTGTGTCCCCAGAGGTGGCCTTTCCCGTGCCACCCTGCCCTGATTAGCACTCATTGGGCCCCTCCTACCCTGGCTCCCTCAGTGCCCTGCCTCCATGGCCCGCAGTACTCGGGTGACGGGAAGTCCCCAGCTGTCAGTCAGGGCCACACTTTGACGGTTGGTGGATTTCCTCTTGCTGGTGGAGGTGGTCACAGAGAAGGGGGCTGATTTCCGAGTCTGTGGGGTGCAGCAGGTACACGTTGTACCTCCCTAGGGCTTGGGGGTACTGGCCCCAGAAGTCCTGACCAGTGCTTATGTCCAGGAATATGTTTTGTGTGCCCAGCATGGCAGAGATGGTCAGCCTCTCACATGGGGTCCGAGGCTCCCGCCAGGGCTCCCAGGGCTCTCAGGGCTGTGTGTCACTTCTTTCCAGGAGTCGTGAACCCGGTCTCCACTGCTCTGTCTGAGCCTCTCCTTGGGGCTTCCTTGGAGCTGTCTACCGCTGCCACTTGCAGTCAGAGCTTCTTGAGTGACAGGGCATCTGTCCTATTGAGCCCCTGCTCTCTTTGAACCTGAACTTGGGTCTCTGCTTGGCTTGCACGGAGGACAGTGATGAGGAGTCCTTGTCAGCTGGGGCTTCTTCGGCCTTCCTCATTTTATGCCCAGGGCCCCGCATTCAGCCAAGTTGTAAAAAGCTGCCTAGACTGAACAGGGCCTCGTATCACGTGGGCCACGGCTCTACCTGGGGTGGGGGTGGGGAGTGGCACTCCTGTGTGACACCTTGGGATGAGGGGCGGGCATTAGCGTCTCAGGCCATGGCGCGTTCCTCAGGATGCGGTGCCGTGGCTTCACGAGTGCCTAAATGGAAACGTTATTTGTCGCAGTCTGGCTCGAGGACAGGGAGGCCCTGGCAGCCGATGTGTGTGAGTCTCCATATGAACTCTCAGAGGAAACCCGTGCTGCGCTTTGCCTGAGTTAGGTGGGGGCAGGAGTGTGAACCTCACATGGCTACTTCAGGCGCCACATTAGATTCCTTGTAAATCACTTTTTGAAAGGTGTGAAATACCTACATAAGAGACCAAGAAGAGAATGAGTGACAACAGAGACGTTCAATTCTGCATCCGTTTCCTCATTGTGAATGTGTTAGCATTAACAGCCAGCCACGGACTGCCCCTGACTTCCCGAGAAGGTGCAACCTCAGGTCTGGCAGGTGTGTGTCTGCTTGGCGCAGCCGCAGGCCTGTCGGCACGCACAGGGCGGGGACCCCTCCCTCCTGCGGTCCAGTTGCCAGTCCATTCATGAGCAGATTCACCTGGAATTCAAGTTCCGTGTCTGGAGAGGGAATTCAGTCAAGGAAAACCCCCTATTTAAATTTCATCCGGAGTGGTGCTTCTGCTCCATGTGGTGTTGTCAGAACACAGACTGCCCCTTGGTGGCGGCACCAGCTAAAGCGTCCTCTTGCAGGGGCGAATGCTGCCCTGTTTGATCCGCATCCCCTCCACTCTGCCGGCACGTTCAGGAGGAGACCCAGAGGCACACAATGAAAGGGAGCGTGTTGTGTTGTGTGTGTAAACAGGCGTGAGATAATTTCAGCAAAGTTTTGATGTTTTCTTTTTCAATTAACATGTTGTAAGTGTTTTTCTCATGATTTACATATTTGTTGGAATCATGGCTTTGATGGCAGTTTAGTATCACACACACGGTGTAGCTTTAATCATTCATTTAATCATTTCCCTAATGATGGGATTTTAGGTTGTTTCCAGCGTGTTGCTGTTATAAATCATGCTTGTGAGGCACGTATTTGCATATTAATCTCCCTCCCTAGCCCTTGATTATTTCTTTAGAACAGATTCCTCGCTGAAGAATCACTGGGATGGGCATTTCTTAGGGGTTGTAGTGCTCAGCTTCACCAGTGCCCTGTGACTGTTCGCTGTGACCTCAACGCTTCCCAGTCCCTGGGGCAGAAGCCATGTCTGTCTCATGCAGGGATGTCTTGGCACGCCACAGTGCTGGAAACACAGTAACCAGGAGCACAGGTAGATCAGCGATCCAAGGACCGAGGGAGGGGCTCTCGCCTGCGGGAACTCACCACTGGGCGCTGGCCACCTTGGCGGCACCAGGGGACACCTTGCTTTCCGAGCACCTTGGAAAATGGACACATCAGCCCCCTCCATTGGTTGAGTCTTTTCCACAGTCTCCTAGCTACCGAGTTATCTCCCCCTCAGAAAGGAAGTGCAAGAAGAGCCTTTTCAAGGCTAAAAACAAAAAACAAACCACAGCCGACACCGTGTGGATGAGTAGAAGGTTGTGTTTGGCAGGATTTGCAGTGGCTGCAGAGAACTGCACTCCCATTAGTGGAGCCGATGGATGGGGTCGTTTGCCTTTTCTACGCCTAGTGCAGCGACCCATGGGACACCGCCATCAGGTTCCATTTCTCCTCACGATGGGCAGAGACCTGAGCCCCAGGCTGCAGGTCTGTGACGGGGCGGGAGTGAGCACTCGGCTGAGCCTGGTCCTGGGGGGCTGCCTGCATGTTGGAGGGGCTTGCTGGGGGCTTTGCTGCCAGTGTCTTTTCTTCTGAGAGGAGCACACAGTAGGAAACATACATGCTCACATCTGTGTTTACATGGCTGTGGTGGTTTCAACAAAGCACAGTAGAAACTTAGATGGTGTAAAGTGAGGGACTTTCTCTTTTGGGCTTTGTACACCAAACGTAAACATAAGCACATTTATATGTATATGCATCAGGTCTCAGGAGTTCACCCACATTCGTGGGCCATTTACAGTTTTTTATATATTTATTTTTTAAAGATTTATTATTTATTTATTTGAAGGAATTACACAGAAGGAGAGGCAGAGAGAGAAAGACAGTGAGGAGTCTTCCATCCAATGGTTCACTCCCCAATTGACTGCAATAGCCAGGGCTGTATGGATCCGAAGCCAGGAGCCAGGAGCTTCTTCCAGGTCTCCCACGTGGGTGCAGGGGCCCAAGTACTTGGGCCATCTTCTGCTTTCCCAGGCCACAGCAGAGAGCTGGACTGGAAGTGGAGCAGCCGGGTCTCAAACCGGCATCCATATGGGATGCCGGCACTTCAGGCCAGGGCTTTAACCTGTGCCACAGTGCCGGCCCATAGTTTTTTATTCTTAATGACATATTGTTGGCATCTCTCAAGTTCGTAGGCTGCCTATTCCAGTGAAGAATGAGTGAATGGTTTAGTGTCTGGCCGACTTCTAGTATGGGTTACCATCATATAATGGCACTAGCAGGTAAATGTTGGTGGAGCAGGTGCCTGTAGCATTGTTCTCAGTGCATCCGCCCGTGAGGTAGAATTCACACTGCTGCTCTGCCGTATGTGAGCACAGCTTGCGAGGAAGTGGCCGAGCCAGGACTCAGGGCTGGTGTCTGCCTCTGGCACGTGCACCCTTCTGTGTGCTCGCAGTCCTGAGTGACGTGCTGGGAAGGACCCAGTGGTGCAGACGCTGCTTTCTCGCTGGTGATGTGGAAGGATTGGGAATGCGGGCCTGAGGCTTCACGCTCGTTTCCCTGGGGATTGGGACTGTCTCAGTGTCCGAGTAGGTGTTGCTCAGCGGAGGGGGAGAGAAGCACACACAGCAGTGCAGTGAGGTGGGACCCTGCCACATGTGGGGGTGCGGGCCCTGGGTTGTGTACCCTGCCCCCTGTGGGGTGTGCAGTGGCAGGGAGGACTGTGGCAAGAACGGGAGGTGGCAGGACTACAGGGTCTGTGGTTACGGGGGCTCCTTCCCAACCTTCCCCAGGCTGTGTCGACGACCTGGGGACAGCTCTGGGTCTGTCCTCACAAGGCTCTCCCTGCCGTGAGACCTGGGAGGTTCACCGGGGAGGGGTGTGGCATTTGTGGTGCTGAGCTCGGGACCGAGTGGAACCTGGTCCCATCCTTGCTTTGCTTTGCAGGCACTCAGAGCCGCGGGGCCGTGGACAGCCTGCAGAGGTTCTCCTCACTGCCCGCCTACCTGCCCACAAGCCTGCGCATCTCCCACGCAGACGAGGCCTTCTTCCTCAAGGAAGCCAACCAGGACATCACGAGGAATGCCAGCCTGCAGGCTCGGGCGGAGCCACTGTTCATCTACCGCGCCAGGAGCCCGCCTCTGCTCAACGCCAGCTACGGCCCGTTTTGGGCTGCCAGGCTGATCCCGCAGGAGCTCCTGGTGCCCCCCACACCCTTCGGGAGTGCAGAGAACTTCCCCTTCAACTGGAGGCTGCGGTCCCACATCCTCGAGAGCTCCATCTACTCCAACAGGCCCAAGGTGCAGACGCTGTTCTACGTGGCGGGCATGGGCTGGGGCGAGGACGACCCTGATGACCACTTGCCCTGCGTCAAGATGTTTGCCTTCCCCGAGACCAGGGAGGTGGCGGCCAGCTGCCGGCTGCAGGGGGCCCCGGGGCTTTGCGTGGCTGAGCTGGAGCTGCTGCCCGAGTGGTTCAGCTCGGGCCTGGACCTGGAGCCCGAGGAGGAGATCCCGGCCCTGCTGGGTGGCACGGCCATGGAGCTCTTCTTCACGCTGTACGCGGCTGACGGGGCTGGCCGGTGCCCGCTGGAGGAAGAGGGCCAGTGGGAGAACAGGATCCACGCGGGCCCTGAGGGCGCCCCGCAGGCGCAGCCCGCCCGCGAGAGGGTCGGGAGCGTGGTGGTCTACCCCACCCAGGACGACCTCAAGTGGTCCCTGCTGAGCCTCGATGACAACCTGGCGCTCTCGGTCCCGCTGAACCTGGTGCACGAAGGGGACACGGCCACCTTCTCAGTCTCCCTGACCAGTGGCTCTGCGGCAGACCAGTTCACCCTGAGGTAAGAGGACTTGACTTGGTTGCTGACGGGCTGCCAGGAATGCAGCGGGCGAGGGGCCCCTGCCGAGCACTGCCGCTGCTGCCTGCCGCTGCCTGCCGGGAAGGAGTGGTGACGCGGACTTTGTCTGGCGGCCGTGGGCGGGGGGACCCTGCAGGGTGGACTTGGGCATCTCGGGGGACAAGGAGGGAGGAGGTGCAGGGGCACAGTGTCACGGAGGGTGGGCCATATGGCTGTGACGAGGACAGCGGCCTCTGAGTCTGCGAGTGACCTCAGCGAGGATTCTGTGCCCTCACGGAGAGTGGGGACGGCTGCTGTCTATACCACCGATTGCATCTCACAGGGATGGCTCTCGGGTCCTTGAGACAGGCACTTCCGAGTGGCACAGACAGCCGGCCTGTGCCCACGGTCGTGAGATAGTAAATGCCTCACAGTAATTGCCTTGGGAGAGGGACAGCAAGGGCCTGTGGTCAGGTGTGCGCTGGCCTGGGCAAATGGTCAATTCTCCTGGCCACACCGAGCTTTCTCAGGCAGGTACTTGAAGGGGCTGGCGGTGGCCCCAGGACACAGCCTTCCATGCCAGAGTTTGGTGGGGTCTGTCCATTCCGGGGCTCACGTGGAGTGGCCACGTGCTGGCATTTCTGCGGTCTCGGGGTTCAAGGCACTGAACAGTCCATGAACTTGGCACAGAGCTCCACGTGACAGCAGGGCGGGGGTCGGGATGCTTTTTCTAGAAAGACTGAGACGGTAAACAGGCCTTGGGGGCTGGACAGTCCCGGTGACAATGCCGCTGGTACAGCAAGAAAGCAGCTGCAAATGTGGGTGTGGCCGTGGTCCCAGCAGAGGGCTGAACCTGGCCCCTGCTCGCCGTGCCCTGTGGTAGAGAGGCAAGTTCAAGTTGAGTGGTAGAGACCACGACACCTGCAGGAACCCAGGGGTGCGTCGTGTGGCCTGCGGCAGCCAGACCTGAAGGACAGGGGAATCTGGGGGCAGAGAAAGGCGGGGCCCAGCATCGGGGGAACAGGTGCAGTCAGGAGACAGAGACCACACACGGCTGTTGAGGGGGAGTTTAACGTAAGGACAATTAATGTAGGTACAAAGCAAGGTTAAGCAGGTGAGAAGACGGAGGTACTGGGGGTTAGGGAAGCCACTGCCACGTAGACTGGGAAGCAAGAAAGACGTGAAAACCACAGAGGTGAAGTTGGAGTGGGGTCCCCCTCTAACGAGACTGTCTGACCACCCTGCTGCCCTGAGGTGGTGGCCAGGCAGAAGCATGGCAGGGACCCCGACCTCCAGTCACGCGCAGGGGTGAACGTGGCAGGGGCCCTGACCTCCAGTCATGTGCAGGGGTGAACGTGGCAGGGGCCCCGACCTCCAGTCACGCGTAGGGCTGAACATGGCAGGGGCCCCGACCTCCAGTCACGCGCAGGGGTGAACGTGGCAGGGGCCCCGACCTCCAGTCAAATGCAGGGGTGAAGGTGGCAGGGACCCCGACCTCTGGTCACACGCAGGGGTAAACGTGGCAGGGACCTCTGGTCCAGCCTCTGGTCACGCGCCGGAGCTTCCTGAGAGCCTGCCTGGGCCTGAGTAAGAAGCCCTGTGCAGGGTCAGCAGCCTCTGCAGGATGAAGCTTTGGAGTTGACACAGCTGGGGGCCTCGGAGCGGGGACAGGCCTCTCACCGTGTTCTACTCTCAGGGGTGCCTGGGGAGCAGTAGGCCGTGACGCTGCCACACGCCAGTGTGCCCTGGGGGAAGCCCCGAGTGCCTCTGGGCCTCGGTTTCCTGGTCAGGGAGATGAGTAGTGATGGATGGGAGCTGTCTCCTGGGAGTTTTTTTTTTTTTTTTTTTTTTTTTAAAGATTTATTTATTTGAAAGAGTTACAGAGAGAGAGGGAAAGACAGAGAGGTCTTCCATCTGCTGGTTCACTCCCCAAATGGCCACCACAGTTGGGACTGGGCCAGGCTGAAGCCAGGAGCCAGGAGCTTCTTCTGGGTCTCCCATGTGGGTGCAGGGGCCCACCTTTTACTGCTTTCCCAGGCCATTAGCAGGGAGCTGGATCGGAAGTGGAGCAGCTGGAACTTGAACCAGTGCCTAAATGGGTGCTGGCACTGCAGGCGGCGGCTTTACCTGCTGTGCCATGGTGCCGACCCCCCTCCTGGGGTTTTGTGAGGATTCAGTCAGTTGCCAATGTTCTTCCCAGTGCACGGCGTGTCGGGTGTTAGCCTGTAGTGTCTCCCTGCTGTTCAGGCAGCCAGCAGACACAGAACTCCCAACACAAGTGCACCTGGGTTATGGGTGCAGTGACAAACGGAGGCCTCGCAGTGAGTCCGACGTGAACCTTCTGCTTCACGTGCTCTGGGACACACAGGTTTGCGGTCTGGTTGCTCAGGCGCCTGCCGACAGGGCTCCAAGGCATTGGCAGGCCCAAGGTGGGTGGAGCAGCCTGGGAGAGCCTCTGAGTCGGTGTTTGATGAGGATTCGGGACTTGATGCTACGCTCTGATGGAGGGGGAGGGTTCAGCTCTTGCTCTCCTAGTGAAGGGGAGACCCGGGGCTTCACTCAGTGTCGGTCAGTGGGAGGAGGGGCCAGGGGTCAGGGGCCAAGGGCCGACTTCCTGCTCTTGCCACTCAGCGCTCTCTCCCTCTGCCAGGGCAGGCATTAGTAATTGAACACAGCACTCAGCACTCCCTCTGCCAGGGCAGGCATTAGTAATTGAACACAGCACTCAGCACTCCCCCTGCTAGGGCAGGCATTGAGGACAGCATTGAGGCAGTTCTTAGTGATCCATGAGGGAAGGGGACACACCAGACTAAACTTGCCTGCTGTTCCCAGTCACCAGGGGAAGGGAGAGCAGCTGGTCTGGTGAGCAGGGGTGGCACACAGACCTCGCTGACATCCATGGAGGACTTAGGCCCAGCCCCGGCTGTAAGCTCTCTCCAGGGTTCACTCATGATGTGCTGTCATCAGACAACCCAAGGAGGCAGGTTTTCCGATTACTCCCACTTTTCCGAGCCGAAGGGAGGTTCTACAGTTTGCCTATTTCCAGTGGGGAGCGGTTGGTCTGAGCCCCAGAGGGCCAGGCCCAGAGCTCGCACCCTTCTCCCCTGCAGACAGAGGGGCACCATGCACCGTCCTGTGTGTGGCTGGCCAGCCCAGAGCCGAGTGCTGACTAAGGGGTGAGACTCAAGGGGACCCAGCCTGCGGACCACAGAGGGCCTTGGAGAGTTACCTTGTTGTTGAAAAGCAATCCTTCACTTTCCTCTTTTCCCTGCACAGAAGTTAATTTAGAGCTGAAATGGACTCGGCGTCGTCTTTGCCCGAGAATCGGCGTGAGCAGCCGGCCTCCCGGGAGTAGCGCTGGGGACCCCTGGTTCTGGGCTGCCAGCCTGCTGGGTCCTGCTCGGGTTGTGGAGCCACAGAAGCGGGAGAGGGAGAGGGGGCAGAGGAGGCAGTGAAGCCAGGAATCTCCCACACCTCGTCTGTTTTTATTTATTTTTTAAAGATGTGGTTTTATTTATTTGAAAGAATTACAAAGAGAGAGGATGAGATAGAGACAGGCAGAGAAATCTTCCATCTGCTGGCTCACTCCCCAGTTGGCCACAGTAGCCAGGAGCGTGGAACTCCATCCAGGTCTCCTGTGTGGGTGGCAGAGGCCCAAGCACGTGGGCCATGTTCCACTGCTTTCCTGGGTGCTGTTCTGTCAGTAGGGGCTAGAGCGGCCAGGACCGGAACTTGCACCCACGTGAGATGCCAGCATTGCAGGCGGTGGCGTGACCTGTGCACCAGAGCCCCGGCCCGGAACCCTGTACTGGAGTTGGGGGCCTTGGCGTCCTCCCAGCCTGCAGTTTGCAAACAGGTGCCATGGCCACGTGCAGCCTACAGATGTGTGCTCTGTTCTTTAAAACACTGAGGAGAGCGGCCAGGCTCCGCCAGTGGGGAGATTTCACAGACCATCTCTTCCAGAGTCTGGGAGGTCTGGAAGCTTGGCAACAGTTGGCTGGAGCTAAGGAGCAGCTTCCCTGTACGTGTCGCTCTCTGTCTACTCCACCCCAGTCCCCACCACTCACTTTTGTCTCACACCTGGCCCACTTCACTCACCTGTGTCACCCTTAGGACTTCTGGGAATATGTGAATTGTGATCCAGTATTAGAAACAAGGGGATGCAGAGTGCAAAAGAGTAGGGAGATTCTGAGCCCTGCAGGCGGCATCACCAGCTGGGTCACTGTGTGTGTGTGTGTGTGTGTGTGTGTGTGTAGGGGGAGTCACAGCGAGCAGAGGTGCAACACAGGGAGTGAAGCCACCCCTCCTCGTCGGCAGGATTGGGGTCAGGTGCTTTGCCTGCAGGGCTCCAAAGGGTGCCAGGTGCACCCCAGGTGTCCAGTAGTGGTCATCGCTGTGTACTCAGGTGTCCAGTAGTGGTCATCGCTGTGTACCCCAGGTGTCCAGTAGTGGTCATCGCTGTGTACCCCAGGTGTCCAGTAGTGGTCATCACTGTGTAACCCAGATGTCCAGTAGTGGTCATCGCTGTGTACCGCAGGTGTTCAGTAGTGGTCATCGCTGTGTACCCCAGGTGTCCAGCAGTGGTCATCACTGTGTAACCCAGGTGTCCAGTAGTGGTCATCGCTGTGTACTGTAGGTGTTCAGTAGTGGTCATCACTGTACTCCGAGGTGTTCGGTATTGGTCATCGCTGTGTACCGCAGGTGTCCAGTAGTGGTCATCGCTGTAACCCCAGGTGTCCAGTAGTGGTCATCGCTGTGCATCCCAGGTGTTCAGTAGTGGTCATCACTGTACTCCGAGGTGTTCAGTAGTGGTCATCACTGTGTACCCCAGGTGTTCAGTAGTGGTCATCGCTGTGTACCGCAGGTGTCCAGTAGTGGTCATTGCTGTGTACCCAGGTGTCCAGTAGTGGTCAACGCTGTGTACCCAGGTGTTCAGTAGTGGTCATCGCTGTAACCCCAGGTGTTCAGTAGTGGTCATCACTGTGTACCCCAGGTGTTCAGTA